CTCATGTTTTCATTTATAAATTTTTATAATATGACACTCCTTAATGTACTTTTTTTCTTGTAAATTCTTCAGAATGCAGTTTATGTTAATAAATGTCAGTGGATCCTGATAGATCCCGGGATCCGCTTTTTCCTCCTTGGGCTGTATTCTATCAAAGTCTTGCCCCGTTTTCTCAAAAAAATTACGAACCATACGGAACGAAAAATGGTTTCGTATGCGGTACGATGCTTAAAAAAAGACTCATACAGTTTGCACGATCATTTTGAACGTGTCTTGGATGTTTAAGAAATTTCAAAAAAGGTTTCGGTTTCTTTGCAGAAATGGTTCCGTGTGGTACCTTTTTTTTCAGAGTAGTCTTCCAGGGGTCCGTTTTCATTAAAAAGAATTCTCCTTACAATTTATTAGATTCGATGTAGCTTTTAATGCTGATTTCGAGTGTCACATTCGTTTCGACTTACAATTGTGTCCTGTGAATCAAAACCGCCAAAAAAACTTGATTTATTTTGAAAAATCATTAAAAATCGCTATGAAAACGATATTTGTGAGCGCTGTTTCGCTTCGAAGGTTAACTTTTTATTCCCCAATCTTTTTACTGCTTTGTAGAGAATCAAAAGCTACATAATATATATAAAATCTAACAAAATTGCAGCAGATATACTGTCAAAAACTGACCATTTTGAACTCATAAATTGTGACCTCTCTCTAATTCAAATAGCTTATTTTGTTCAGCTGCTGATGCTCTATCTTTTGGTATATTGCACGAAAATATTCTCTGCCTTGCTCAAGCATAATCCTAACAAACATTAATGGTAACATTCAGCTATTTTTTTTGATAATAAGTTGACAGTGCCAGAAGTATACATTAGCTAACTTTGCTATAGCACATCCAAATGAGCCTAAATGTTGGGTTTAATGACTTTAGGCTATGCTCTTTCAAACTCATTCAAAAAACTGAAAAAACTGAAAAAATCTAAATTTTGGAGTGTCTCTCATACTGGAATGATCTCGGTGTCTCCTCATCAACGCTCTCTTAAGGCGATTTATTTGAGTTTTGAATGAGTTAAGATGATTTAATTTTGATTTTCAGCTGATCTAAATCAGTTGTTTTCTCCTTTTTTTTTCTTTTTTTCTTTCTTTTCAATTGAGAGTTCAGTACCATACGAAGCCAATAAAAGTATGCGTAGATGGCTATTATTGTTGCCAATGCTTGCTTTCTTTAAATGAAAATCAATGGATACTAGCACAGGTTACAAAAAGTATTTTTTGCATCAATGTTCTTACACTCTTTACAAGGAAAAATTAAAATGAAACTATCGTTATTAATTTCTTTTAAAAACGAAATATATACGTCTATAATACGTTTCTATGGTTTCCTTATTATGTCGCTGTAATCGATATACAGTTGCAAAATTAGTTTATTTTTATATTCAGTCCAAGATCTCGTTTTGAGAATGCAGAGCACCTATTTCCTCAAATATAAAAGTTCGATTCTCAACAATTCAATAAGCTTGTTGTTTCGATTATTTCTCTATATTTAGGCAAAAGCAACAGATAATGGTTTAGAACTACATATGACAAATTAAACTCTCTTTAAAAACAAACTATGAGTTGGTTTTCGTATAATTAATGGAAGAACAGACATATACTTACCGTTAGCTAACACTATAGACTCTCTAACGGCGTTGAACAGCTTTTATCTAGCAGAAAGTGAATTAAATCATTTATATTCATGCGGAGTCATAAAAAATTATATTTTGTTTAAAATATGACGATGACGAACATACTTTGAATTAACGATAATCAATACAACGAAACATTTGAAGCATGGTAGAAATATTCAGTCTAATCGCTGTTGCTGCTGAAACTCGTTTTATTATCTCAATAAGAAAATAAAGTTCTCACTTAAAAATTGTAATTTTATGGGGTACTTTTAGAGTTACCGGAACTTTGTATCGAAATTTGGAAGAAAGGTTGATCACATAGGAATATGAAACCTTGTAAGAACGTTTGAATTAAAATTGTACGACTCTCTGATCTTTAGGTCATCACGTTACAAAATAGCAACTTGAGTGGCAGATCGAGAAAGTAAAAAAAATTTGCTAACAATTGTTACACAGTGCTTCGTACCGTAATGAATGAGAACCCATATTGAAATTGAAAAACCTTTATATCGTCTCGAAACATTGATCTATCTGACATATTTCGAAAAAATTTCTAGCAACTAGCCGTTCTCTAAAACATAGAAATATAACATACGAATCTTGTTACAACAAAAAACATGCAAAGTATGAAAGCGAAATGCGTACGCAACCAACCATAGAAATGCTGTGTTTCTTACCGCATTCATAGATATTGCATTTTTACGTTCGTTTTTAGTGAATACCGTGATCCCCATCGGGAACATTAGGAAATTTGTTGTTAAAATTCGAATCGAAACTGTACACAGAGAGAAAGATCTTAACCAGAATGGTTTTCTGTGCAAGTTTCCGATCTTTTAATTCACTTCTTTCTTGAAATATGAACATTATATCTACCGGTGTATATGAGCAGTGTAAAAGACAAGCTTTTACCATAGCTGTATCTTAGGATAGGAACAACGAAAATCTTTACAAATTTCATAATAAACTATTCTTGGTAAGACCAGTATCTATCGAAAGTTTCATATTGAAATTCGAAAATGAGTTTTCCTTGTGTTCCTAATGGAGACCGCGGCGTTCTGCTAAAGAAAATTCAGTATCTTGACAGCAAAAGGCTAAGGACTAAATTTTTTTCAGTGTATTTATAGTTCATTAGAATCGACATGAAGCATATCATCTCGACTCAAACGGAATTAATCAGTTAGTGTGTTTCCATCGTCAGCCGATGTAAGCTGTCTGGCTTCGCCGCCACCGATAATAAATAACTATTTTCAATTGAATGAACTTTTTTTAATTTTGTGTTTATTTTTCAAAGAATATTAATCGTGATAGAAATAGATGATTTAATACGTACAGAAGTATATGTTACAAGAAAAATATAAACAAAAGAAAATAAGTTCTTTCAAAAGCCATATTTAGCTTGAGTTTGTCTTTTTGTTAACTTCTGTTCACTCCACATATTTTTCAACTGAAGATCATCATGCTGAGCCTAGAATACAAGAGAAATATAAACTATATATAATGAATAGATGTTTACTTACTTTAGCAACGAGATAATTAATTTGTGCTCGCTTTCTCATTTCTCCTTTAGGTACATGAATAGCTGCTTGTGCTACCATAGTTTCACGTTCGTCAGTTGTATTTTTAAGTAATTGTAATCGCGCACTTTCACCCATCATTGAATCAATGTGTACATGCTTGATTTCTTTATAACGTTCACTTTTCGGTAGGTAACGTAAAAGCTTAAGAAAGAAAAAATAAAAATCATTATAAAAATTATTATATAAATTATTTACTTCTTCCTCATCATTATTGAATTGTTGATTATTCATTTCTTCATTATTATCAAGATCTTCAAAATCTAGTGATGAATTAGGTAATGCTGGTTTTTCAATAACAGTTGGCTGAACCTTTGGAAATGTTTCCCGTAAAACACTTTCAACATCAGTATTTGTTATTTCAATTTGATTTGATTTAGTTAAACCAAGAAAATCTGTTTGATTATCATCATCATCTTCCATATCACTGTCATTTTTTGTTTGTTCATTTGATTGATTAGATATGGCTGTTGAAGATTTCTTTTGTTGTTGTTTTTTATTAAGTGTATATGGAATAAATAAGCCTGTTGAACTTATTTGAGGAGTTGTTGTTGATGAATTTTTAACTGTAGGTAAACTTGGTGTTGGTTTATCTTCGTCATACATGGGAGGAGGAAGTGCATTCAATAATGCACAATTCTATTTAAAAAGATTGATTATTTTAAGAACTTTAATAAAAAGAAATCAGAGATCGCCCAGTGTTTCATTGGAATCACTTTTACGCAAATCAAATATTTTTCCGCGAGAAAAACTTGAGGAAAATCCTTGGTCATGTATTTTGAGAAAATTTTCTGGCTAGAAAATATCTTATGTTACATATCATCCGATGTAGTTTTTCGCGCTGATTCTGCATATACCGTTGGTTTTTCATAGAAACTCTTTGGAGTCTGAAAAAAAAGTTTACCGGAATGCTTGCTGTATGATTCAAGAATGTTTGATGTTCTACTGAGTGTTAGGCATTCTGAAGATTAGTTTAAAAGATTTCTTCGACGATCACTATCAGATGATATACAGATTCAGAATACCTACTGAATGAGCCTAACAGGTGACTTAGTTTTGTAAAAAAAAATGATTTTTCTCATCGATACTAGCGGGAGTTATGATCTAAAATTTTGTCCATAAACAGCTCTTGAGATCATTAGAATCTCCTGAAAATTCCAACCAAAAAGATTGGTCTCTTCTCCAAATATCAAATTCATAAAAATCGTAGATTTTTTCGTGCTTTTGGTGAAATATCATAGATTTTTGTAGACTTGATATTTCGAGCAGAGACCACACGATTTGAATGAAATTTTTAGGAAATTCTAATGACTTCAACAGCTGTCTGTTGCCGAAGATTTAGAACGAAATTCAACTTTTTTATAATGGCAGTGGCAAAGGTAAAGGATCCTTCGAGGTTTCTTCTAGTCTCAACAGTGACTTACTCGTTTACTAGTTGTTGATTTTCTTTTTGGTTTATCTTCATCATCTGAATCCTAAAATGAAAAATATATTTAGAAAGACAAAACAATTAGATGAAGATGTTTTTTTTACTTGTTCCACAGTGGGAATAAAAATTTTAACTGGTCCCTCACGTTTTCGTTTAATTGGTTTTGGTAATTGAGGAATATTTTTTGCATAATCTTTACTATCTCCGCGAACAATATCTTCTAATTCATTTTCAAGAAATTCAGTTGAATTTATATTTGTATTTAATGAAGAACTATCTTGAGGTTTAGGGAGATTAGCTAATAGAGTAGAAGATGGCTGAGTATTTGTTTCTGTTGGATATTCATCATCATCATCATCGATGATTGCATTTGATGAAGAGTGTGAAGGAGCTGGCAGATCAAGTCGACGACTTGTCGATGATTTCGAATCTGTTGTAACTTGAATATTATTATCTTCTTCTTCACTTGAATCACCTTCATAATTTACAAGTGGCATTTTTATCTAAAATATCTAACAAAGAAAATTTTCTAAACTGAATTTTAACAAAAAATGTTTCATAAAAAAAACAAAAACATCATGCTGTATCTTCTTGTTTTTCCTCTTCATCTTGTTTTTCTGGATATCTTAAACGATTTTCAGCTATTTTTCTTGCTCGATATGCATTAACATAATCAGCAGGATCAACAGGAAAAAAACCACAACGTCCTAATGGAATCAAAAACAAACGAATCATTATAGTTAGATTCAAAAAATAAAAATAATAGAAATCTTTCTGTTTTACCAAGTAATTTTTGTACCCATGGATTGATAACAACACCTTCAGTACCAATCCAATATCGAAGTCGTTTTAAATTAAGGGCAACTAAAATTTCATTTTTATCATTAGGCATTGGATCACATGAACCAAGATTTTCAATAATTTCATTAGCATTTGGTGAATGTTTCATTCGTTGAACTACAATACGATCAAATCGACGATTTCTACAACCAATATTTTGTAAACGAATTTCATAGGGACCTAAATCATCGACTTGTGTTATATCAGGAGGTGGTCTTAAAATAAGAAATAGAAAGTTTTAGTTTTTGAAAAATAAAATATAATAAGCATACCCATGTTTAAATGTGAATACTTTTCCTGTTGAATCAATAGCAGTTTTTTCCTCTTTGATAGCTGTTTCAACAGGAGTAGGAGGATTTACTGGTGGTGGTGCTGTACGTACATAACGTTTACAAATCGAGACTAAACATGTCAATGGAGCTGGTCGAATAAGAAGAAATTTATCTAACATCTTAAACAATAAACAATTGTTTTTCAATAAGATTAAAATAGTAAACTGATCATAATTTTCTTATTGAAAGAAAAAAACAAACAGTAGTAAAATTATGAAACCTTCAATACTCCAAACGCTGACGAAATCTTTGTAGAAAAAAGAGTTTAACGTAAATCTAATTCTATAATGAATCAAGAGAAAAATAATACACATCTTTTCTGAATGGCTGCTGTACAATCAGGAAAACAATCTGGTTGGTTTAAAGACAATATTCACCAGATGACGTAGGTTATCATTACAAAAAATTCACATTCGAAGAAAATGCCTTACTTGACTAGAAAATTTCTACGAATCCATTCATAATAGATGGTACATTGACTATTTAAGTGAGAAAATTAAATAAGTTCAAAAAAAAAATTCTGTGCAAAGAATTGTCAAATTGATATGCATTATTAACTCACGACATAGAAAGGCTAATAGAGCATATATAATGCAAGTTACAATTTAGTTGAGATGCCAACATTTTACATTGATTTTCCAGTAGGACTACATTTTTGTGGTGGAATCAAAATTTTCGGACAGATTGTCTCTAATCTACCAGTATGTTAGCATAAAGACACGTTTTTATAAATATTCTGGAAAATTCTGAAACTTTGCAGGCGAACTTATCTGATTGAAACCTCGCTGTATGAAAAGTTTCAGTTTAAAAGTTTTTAGCACCTGGAATGGTTTTGTTGTTAGAGATGCTCAATATCAGATCTAAACATATTCTATTTGAATGAAATAATCAATAATGGATTATCGTAAAGTAATTTGGCAAAAATTTCAAAAGATTCGGTTAGATTTCGAACTTTATGTTCTTTTTGTAGAACTTATAGTTTAAGAGTTATGAACTGATCTTTTCGAGAACTATAAATCGAATTTTGAACAACTAAATGAATGTTTTCAAATTGCTGTAGACTTGTTTAAGTTGCTGAAAAATGAATGAATATGTTATCAAATTACTTTTCGATAATCCGATAGTATTCTTCGATTTGTCATCTAAATAGAAACATATATGAACGTTTGTGTGTTCTATCTGTCTTTCCTTTATTAACAATATTGTTTTTTTTTGTAATTGGACACGTTTTACGAAAGCTTCATCTTTATTGAATTTAATCCAGTTTATTTTTAATTTAATGAATTTTTCATTCTTATCTAAAATTATTAATTTTGATTAGCTCTTCGAATTGAGGAAAACATAATATAAGTCTTTTCTTTCTTGATACAATCGTATTTGTAATGCAAGTATCGATATGATTTTATGACAGAATAGAATCGAAATGTTGAATTAAAAAAGAAAAAGAAAAATATATAACAGGATAATTTTATATTCTCTTTTATTCATAAATTTTGAATAATTGTATTTTAAAAGAAAAAAAGAAAATTTTCTTTTATGATGTTTGACATTGAGATTGTATGAGGTCCTTGATTGAATCAGGTCGAACATTGACGACAACTTGGCATGTTGTTTTGCGATCAGATTCATCATAGACAGTTTCAGCAGAAAAATCTATTTTATAATTCAATCCATTAACAACTTGAACTTGAACCTTGATAACTCGAAGATTAGCAAGAAAAAGATTTTGTGTTGTAGCTAAAACTTTAGCAGCATAAACTGTCAACGATTTAACTACATCGCTGTCAACTAAATCTGGACGGTTGGTATAACCACCAGGTATAGCAGGAAAGGCATTGCAGGCAACCACTAATACGAGAAACGCAGCAGTGAATTTAAGCATCTTTGTTGGTTGTCAGAAATACAATTGACGATATGAATGTGTCTGTCGACACTTGACTTCTTTTTTTATAGGAAAATGATATAAATTTATTTGAATAGGAATTATCTCTATATAATATGAAACAATGATGATATGATATCAGAAAAAAACAATTACAATAATATTAGCTTTCATCCTATGATCTTTTGGTAAATAATATACGAAATTAGAAGGACAAAAGCTATGATACAAAAAAAATAATTGTCAATAAAATAAATTTCAAAATGGTGACTGATAACCTTGAAAATAGTATCAGACTGTTTTTGGTTTCAGTTTCTTGATTGAATTTTCCAAGTTCTGTGACAAGTCAAGTAAATACCCGTTATTTATAGTTTTTTACTTACACAATAAAAAAAAGACTTTTTCAATATATTTATTGCTGAAAATATATTTCAATAAAACAAATGACTTTGGAAATACAATAATCAATTAGAATTCATTTACGATTTTAAAAGAAAAAGAATATATCTATAGTTCACAAAATGATTGCTCTCTAGAACAAAATTCAATGAATTTTCCTCGGCTCATTTGATGATAATCTAATAGGAGAAGATTCTAATTTTTAAGAAAAAAAACTAAAGATTATCCTGGTCACATCTCGCTGTGAAGAGTTCTGATATTTAAATGAATCAATTTATGATTTTAGATGAAAATTAATATGTATGCCACAGATCAATGCTATAGTTAAATCATGCATGCAAATCAAAGTGAAGCTATTGATAACAAATGAAATGAGTTCAACTGTTTATTTGAAATGCAAAAGTAAAGTCAATTTTGGTTTGTAGGCTTGATATTTTTATAACTACATTCTTTTTCTTTAATTGACAACTGATGAAATTTTCTTCAATTTTTTTCACGTTAAAAGTCAAAACAACGGATGGGTACATAAATTAAATATGATCGTTATCATCGAGACAGAAACCAATAAAAAAAAGTAATTGAATTATGTCGACTAAACTTAGGGGTACAACAAAATCATCAGTAAGACGTGGAATTTGGAACCAAATCCTTTGTATTTGTATTTGGGGTTTTTCCTTAAAATTGTAGCTATTTTTTGGATTTGTAAATACAGCAGAGCTACTTTGAAATTTGATAACTTACATAAATGAGGTGTGGATGGGGTACAGATGTGACACCTCTACCTATGAGAAGTCCGAAGGTATTTTCTACAGATACCTATTGGTGGTTCCTATAGCTTTTCTGAGGGTACCTAGGGTTGCCAGGGAGTGGTTCCTACCATTATTCACGGTCTATTCGTGACTATTATCAGTTACAAATGGATAATTTGTTTAAACTTGACTTAATTAAGCGAAGTAATTCAGTTTTATCACCTCACATTTAATATTAAGTTTACGTTTTACGCTTTGAAGCTGAGTTTTTATAGTTAAGTGTGAATGAAACCCTTACTACTTGATATTAAATTTACGTTTCTTCTATTTAAGATGTGCTTCACCTAAAGTTAAATTTATGTAATCGTGTCTGGCAAATATCAATTAATATCGAGATTGTCATCGCTGGTATAAGGACAGACGATACTATTGTTCGAGTCATAGAAAAAAGAAGCCCTGCTCTTCAGTAGATTGGTCGAACGCCGTTGTGTTTCATACTTACAGTAAAGCAAAAGAACCCTTCTGAAACTTGACTAGTTGATAGCTTCTTTGTATAGATGGATCAGATGCGAGAAAATTGCTCTGTTCTCTATTCCAAGGAAAAACAACTTTGTTCAGGCAATTTGGAGGTGTACGGGATCGTTTTGTATGACCCCAATATCACTATATTTAGTCCTTAGAATAGTACAAAGAATATATATAGTTGAATTTGATTAGTCGATACAAAAAAGCTACCAGCTAACCTGTTTTCAGTTCAGAAGGATTCTTTTGACTTTACTGTAAGGACGAAACATGGTAGTGCTCGAACCGATCTAAGAGGTAGCATGGGCTCTCTTTCATATGGCTCAAACAAAAGCATGATTCGTCTCTAAACTAATAATGAAAAACTCGAAATTTAGTGGCATTTGGTCGACACAATCACTTAAACTTAATTTTTGAGTGTTAAGTAAAAAAACATGAACTAAAGATTAAGTATTACGTAACAACACTAAATAGTGTCAATTATAAATGTTTCACTCGTAATGGAGACCAGCCACGGAAAGACTGTAAAAAGTTGTAGAAATCACGTGTAAAAGCCTCTAGAAATATTGTAGGAATCACTGCTAGGTAGTCCTAGAAAAGTTCTAAGAACCACTCCTAGGTAGAGCTCCTGCTCAGTGAACTGAGTTGAAGATATTACATGTCTAAGTATGAGTCTGTGAGCGGGTGTGGGTAGGTTAAGGGCAGTGCAACACTCACACTGGTACTCACACTCTATATATGGAAGTTAATAAATCTCAAACTAACTCAACTGTTTTTCACAAATTTAAAGTCCAAATTGTAAATAAATATCCTATTAACTTGATGGATGAACAGTTGAAGCCTAATTTACAAAAGTTCAATACTGCTCAATCATTAAGTAATATATTATAATACATTTTATGAGAAAGTAATGAGAATTGCTTTTCAAGAAAAGACATCAATTGATTATGCAAAACTAATTTTTGTTCATTTTACTTGTTGTTCTAACATGATAAAATATTCAATTAAATTTAATTTTTTATTACAAAACAATTTTTCATAGTCACCAATAGATAAAACAACACCAATTCTACAAACACAAAACGTTCTTAATCTACAAAAAGAAGATTAATGCATACTTGTTACTAATATTTGCATAATAAAGATACTTTTTTTTTAAATTATTTTATTTGTACTGTATTAAATGAATATGATTTTTTCTTATTTATTCATATATTAAATTTTACAGCCACTTATAAAAATCAATTTACTTTAATGTAAAGTTTCATTCAATACATCTAAGCATAAACATATGTCAAAATGATAGATTTTTATTTTGATTTATTAGTTAATTCTTAAGTTTAAAAGTAATTCGTATGAATTTAGCTAATAATGTTACATTGATCAATCTTTTTATCATTGAGAAATTGATTTTCTTCAACTAAGTAATTAGTGATCAAGAAAAGTTCTAGAAGATTATGTTCAAGTGATTGAAAATGAAATCTAGTCGATCCGATTTAAGATCATTGACAGTTATGAAATGAGACATTTTCAAAAGGAGCTAATTATTCTCATCTCATTAAAACATCTATTTTATGTTTTCTGAATCAAGAATAAAAAAAACATCATTCAATAAAATTCATAGACTCAGTAGATTTATTTCAAATAACAATAAACAAAGACAAGTGGTCGGGTTAAACACATTACTAAATTGAATACATGAAAGAAATTCTTTTACTATAAAAGAACATATACTTATTATGGTTCAGTGGACGATGTACTCCATGGTGTACTGGCTCCTCCTTGTCCTTTTCCTGCTTTACCGGTACCTTGATTGATTGTACTACTCTCGTCAAACTTTTGTCGTTGATTTGATGCTCCACTTGCAGTGCTCATACTGGAAAAATTAGAATCACCCAATGCTGAACTTCCTTCTAGTTCAGCTACTGAAGTCGATCCTAATTAACCTGATGTGCCAGTTGAACGATCAGCACTAACAGAACTGATTTCAGTAGGATCCTTACTGCTTCCACCTTTGTCAATTTATTGAGATGCCATCTTTTTTCTAAAGTTTGTAGCTGTAAATCGAAGAAAAATAAGAGAATGACTTTTTGTCTTTCTTTGTAGTGTGTAGATGACTATGACTCATTTGTTTTGCATATTTTTTGTTCACTTCATACTATAACCAGTTGTAAGTAGAAAAACTGCACCACGAATCGAAGAAAAAGAAGATCATTCTACCATATTTCATAGTGTATAACTGAGATCAATGAGGACATTTTGTTTGTTCTAAACATAACTCTTCAGTATTCTTCTACAGGAATATTAATTTAGCTTCTTTTTCCAATCAAAACTTTTACTCGTTTATAAATGGCATTGTTAATGGTAAAAAAACAACCTGTTCAAAAATAATCCTAATTCAAGTTGTTTTCATTGCCTTTTCTGTAGAATGAACGATATCTACGATAATTCAAGATAGCTGTTTCGATAGAAAACAGACTATTAACTATATGAAACACCATTCTTTAATAATAAACAAAACAAAAATAATCACTTTGAATCTCCAACAGTGCCAATGAACTTATAAGATCTATCAGTTAAAGAGACACTAGAGAATTTCAGCTTTTAACAAAGAACTAACTATTAAATAAGAGAGCAAAGGTGATAAGCATCCAATGGAATGTCACTTTCGGAAATGTACAATAAAACAAAGCAGTATTTTAGTTTAAAGTTGATCTTGCAAAAATAATATCAATTATGTTCTTTCAAGTTTACGTTGAAAACATTATTGAACAATCAAAGTAAATAACGAGTGGCTGATAAAGAGCGAGACACTATTATTTCTTTTTTTTAGCATCGTAGACATAGCTACCAGAAAAGATGATGATTCTATCGACGACAAATTCAGCAGATTGAAAACTATTCATTCATCCAACTGTGACAGTCAACAAAATTGAAGAAAGAATGCAATTCAACCAAATGTTTACGATTTAAAAGAAAGACTTTTGAAGTCAAAATTCTGAAAAAATTGCAAAAAGAATCTTTTCTAATAAGTTCATACAATTATTCATTTTCGATTCTGACAAGCCTAAGGGTTTTCGTTGCTGAGTTTAAAAATTACATGGTTACCTTCAAAATCAAATTCTATATCTGTCGGTATAACAATAAAACTTTCATAGAAACAAGTTTGGCTTTTGAAGATACGAATTTCGACAATCCAACCAAAAATATCACCAAGTATTAGTTCCATCCTTTTGGTTCTGAACAATAGCACTAGGAGTCTTGAAAACATAGAATATGAAATTTTTTGTCTATGGATGCTAAATTCAGAAAATAGGTAAGCACGGTTGA